AATTCTGTATCATTAATATAAAACCCCACATATGAATTACATTTATGTTACCAGGCACATTATTGAAAAGCAGCTGTTTTAACCGCCTATTATACTCTGTAGTACCCGGCTATTGATGACTTAAGATATGGACATTTGTGGAAATGTTTTGTGTAGACAAAACCTGGATTTTTGTGACGATAAGACCTGATAAAAGCCAGCGCTGACCTTCCGGGCCTTTTACAGATTGAGTGACAAGGTAAACTGAAACACCCAGGAGTATATTGTTGGGAGCATGATGACATTAGGTCTCAGAAGGAGTCAGTTGAAACTCACTCGTTAATGCTATGACTACAGAGTAATAGTGTAAACAAAACTGTACATGTATTTAAATATGTAATTACAATGTGGTCAAAAAGAAACCTGCTCAGAGAAATCCCCCATTCAGATTCAGCGATTCTCTTCCTTATCAAACAAATGGCATTTACTGATATGTAGCGGTTTGAAGGTTTACCTGCCCACTGTCCCTTCCAGGTGTGCGAGTGTGATTTTGTGGTTTTCATCCAAGGAAAGGGGAGATGACATCTGCTCTGTTCTCCAATGACGCCACAAGCTGGAGCGGGCTCGAGAGGCTGCTGCTGGAGACTCTGAGGGTGGTGGAGCTGAGGCACACCTGGATGTTCTCGCACGTTGGGTAGACTGTATGTAGGGGTAATATCAGGAAGGCTGGTCTGCTCCAGTGCTCCCATGGATGGCGGAGTGTAGACGGAATGAACCTGTCTGCTCATGTAGAGGCAGGGCGGCGGGCTGTGGCTGTAGTCCTCACCTTGTGGTCTCTGGTAAACACAGGAATCCTTAAAAACCTGAGAGGCGTAGTAATGATCGTCCCGATTCATGGCTACAGAGGACCCGAGGCTGTTTGCGCGCACATGCACCGTACCTGTACCCTGCCTCGGTGTGGACCTACTCCTCTGCCTGCAACTGGCACAACTGCAGGCCCTTACGGCGCACACAGGTGTGTCACTCTGTCATCATGTGACTCTGCAGCAGGGAACCCATTGGTTTCACTGTTTGCTCAAAAAGGCAGACCTATAGCCACTTAGTTTCCAGGATATTCTGCAGCTTGTGGGGTTTTTTTTCAGTAAACTGAACAGAAAGGCGGTCAACGAATAAATCAATGCCACTCTGTCAATATCTCAACATTTAGGCAACATGGCCTGCAGCTGTGTTTGCTCCAAAACAGCAGCAGACCGACGCACAGGTGAATCTGTGGGACACTCCACACCTGGAATTAAAGAGGTCACGACAGAAAGATGTTTCTCACGATATGTAGGGTTGTTCTCAAACAGTGTAACTATTGACAAGTTATATGCCTCTTGTCTGCGCACTGCGGCTGATAAATCGATATGTATGGGCGCAAACATTGGTTGACCTGCCAGATAAGGGACCTGGATGGACAAGCAGCTGTCTTGGAAACTCGGGTGAAAAGCTCAAACACCAGACCTATTTCCATAACCTTTTTCATTTGCATGTACCTTTCTGACTTTTTAAATGTACCCATTATAATTCTGTAAATGCATCATTTAACACCATTTAGCGTGTGGGCCCCGTGGTATCTGGGCGAGGGGACCTTGGCGATGGCAAACACAGACTCTGCTGCGGTCGCTGCATTCTCGCCATGTTTGCTGGCCATTAGCCTTTGGCGGGTTTATATTCGCCCCATTAAACAACAGTACACAACAATGACGTGCTGGTCACTCCAAACAATTAGGTTGGAGTGACCAGCCTAAGTCAATTAACCGGCGTGCGTAAGGAGCTCGTCTCCACATTCACCAGCACCTTTATGCATCATTTTGAGCCTCTGCTGTGAGCCAGGTGTAATTCAGGCCTACAGATTTTTCATGTAAATCGCACAGGACCGTGGGGCTTTTATCCTGATAGTGTGTATCAGACTATCTGCCTTTAGTTCTTCAAAAGCAATTACGGCACTTTCCACGGTATCTTAATGCGGCACTCAGCGATGCAATAAAGTTCAAGCAAACCAATTCCATACAAATCACTTGCTGTACTGCGGCTTAATGGTGTTTATATTTGATCAATGTTTCAAAAAGGAAGGAAACCGTTAACTCACGCTATTCTCAGCTGGAGACGACACTGTGATTTATGAAGCATGGCGCGCATTAAACTCATTTTAGACGAGTTTAAGCGAGGAGTAATGTAGGTTAACTTTGCTAAAACAGAATCATGTCCCAAGAGACTGACAGTTGCTACGCTTATAAAAATCTCTATGTGTGGAACAATAAAAGAGAGCAAGCTTAAACACACGGAGACAAGCCAAATGGATAGGAGAGATATAAACAGCATTACAACACTTTCAACGCTTGAGCAAATGTCCATCTGTTGTCCTGAACCTCTAATAACCCCGATAAAACACGTAGAAACACTGTATATTATTTGCCAGTATTATCATTAATATTTTTGCAATTACTTATTTTTCTGTTAAAGTCTAATTAAATTACTATTAGTCTAGTGTACACTGTAGACAATGTATAAGGACTCGGAGACATGTAGGAGTGTCAGGAAAACAAGATCTTTTTTTCTCCTTTGACAAACAAAACCGTTTCTCATTGCCAGTATATACATGTCAAAATGTTGGACACGCGATAAAATGTGCTTACCCAGTGGCGACAGCAGCATGGCTTATTTAAACATTATGACCAGTGAATAATGACCGAAGAATGGCAAAGAGCTTATAATTGAAATCAAGCCTCCTGAACTCTGTGAACAAGCATGATACCAAACCATTAGTCATATGAGAGGGGGCAGCACGAAATGTTTACTGAAAACCTTTCAGGGTGTTCTCAAGCCATAGTGTAGCTTAATCCCTCCACATTTGGTGGAAAATCATGGAAAAGACCATTAAAATGACTTTAGTGTGGCTACTGGATCCATCAATGTATGTTAAGTTAAACTAATATGTAAGACAATCGTCCACCTTGTCTCTGTGGGAGAAAAAGTCTTCTTCTTTTTTTTTTTATCAGCACAAATAAAAAGTTGAATCAATACTTTTTCTGGCTCCTAACGTGCCAGGTGACCAGGACAGGTGTGTCAGTCTGCCGCCAGCACTCTGTGGTGTGTTGACTGGTCAAAGAATGGTCTCAGGAGTGTCCAGCTCTGCGCTCCTGGACAGGGAGTGGTTCCTCCTCTGGGCAGAAGTCTTTATTCAAGAAGTCTGTCTCTGTTTTTGTCTGGGTTCAGTTCAACTTCCCCACGTCTGCGGTCTCTGCTGTCTCTGTGTCTGTAACTCCCCTCGTTGTCTCGATCGTGCTTCTCATTTTTGTTGCTGCGTCTGTCCCTGTGATGATGGTCTGTGTGGGCTCCACTACTTCTGTGATCTCTGGGAGGTGTCCTGCTGCGATCGCGGCTTCTGTCCGGGGACTTGCTTGTCAGGCGCCCTCTTGTGGCCGGGGACTTGCTTGTCAGGCGCCCTCTTGGGGCCGTGTGTCCCGTCCTGGGCTCTCCCGTGCGCCGCTGCAGGCCGGTGGAGCGCAGCGTGTTGAGGAGGAAGTACTTGTTAGTACCCCGCAGGGGACACTTCAGCCTGTCAGACGAGTGAACACAACAACGCTGTTAACCCTGACACACCAAGTTAGATTTGTTAGACTCATCTCTATGACAGCACAGGCCAATGGATGTGATCACTGGCAAGCGCATGGCATCAGCTAACCACGCTAAGATTGTTATTGGAGTTCAAATAACCACACCTGGATCACAGCATTAACCTTTAATGTTCCCCAGTACTACTGCGAACACTTAGGCCATGTCCTCTGCATGCTGTTCTGCATTTTATCATGGATATATCACTGAACCAGCCCGGGCACAGGCCCAAGACCCATGAGATCAGGGGGTCTTGGGCCACAGCTTCTGTACAAAGTGACTCCTAATATTTGTTGTTTGAAAATCACAGAACTCCATCAAAAGACAAAAAATAACACCGCATAAAACTGCACGTTTGCCAAGACAAAATGAGCAGTAAGTAAACTGTGCATTTAGCTGGTTTTACTGGCCAAAACAAATATCACAACATTTATCAGCATCATCATCTGGATGGTCAACAATGAGTGAAAAGTATGAGATGTTGACTTGAGTAAACTGGCTATTATCACTTAACTGTGTAGAAAGCTTATAAACTGTATGACAAGCCCATTAATGGTCTTGCAATGTATGTGAAAGTACAGCTTAGCCGATAAGTAACAGTTACAGTGGGTACAGAAAGTATTCAGCCCCCTTAAATTTTTCACTCTGTTATATTGCAGCCATATGCTAAAATCATTTAAGTTCATTTTTTTCCTCATTAATGTACATACAGCACCCCATATTGACAGAAAAACACAGAATTTTTGACATTTTTGCAGATTTATTAAAAAAGACAAACTGAAATATCACATGGTCATAAGTATTCAGACCCTTTGCTGTGACACTCATATATTTAACTTAGGTGCTGTCCATTTCTTCTGATCATCCCTGAGATGGTTCTACACCTTCATTTGAGTCCAGCTGTGTTTGATTATACTGATTGGACGTGATTAGGAAAGCCACACACCTGTCTATATAAGACCCTACAGCTCACAGTGCATGTCAGAGCAAATGAGAATCATGAGGTCAAAGGAACTGCCTGAAGAGCTCAGAGACAGAACTGTGGCAAGGCACAGATCTGGCCAAAGTTACAAAAAAAATT